CGTCTCCGCAGAGTGCAGCTAATAAACGCAGACCGTCTCCGCAGAGTGCAGCTAATAAACGCAGACCGTCTCCGTCTGCCTCCTGTACGATGCTCATTTCAAGGATGAGGACAAGAAAGCATCGAGCCAAGGTGAAATATATAGTGATGGGGAGGTGGTTTCCAGATGAATTTTACACTTCTGTATTTTTATGGCCAATGTGTGAGACACTTTTAAAACTGAGGTATTGACTATCTGCATTCCTGCTTTTGCAGGACCCTGGGACCAGAGTGGGTAGCCGGCCAGCTAAAGGCTCGGGGAGGAAACAGAGGGGGGCCCTAGATGGCCTGAGGGGTCAGAGCGCAATCGGCAGGTCTGAGACGGACGGCTTCTACTACACCGGTGGGTGTCATGTCTGCTCAGGGCCCCTGCCTGTGCCCCTGAGCTTCAGCCGCTTGCAGGAACATGGCCTCAGTAGGCTGTGGACAACCAGGGATACCTGCTGTACATGTGGTCATTCATCACACTTTACGGACCTGAGGTTCTGTCACTTCCAGGCACCATTCGGAGATACATGAGTGGCAAGCGAGTGCTAATGGACTTCAGGAGCGGCCAATCAGAGGTCATTCCTTTGAGGTTCCTTATCCCCATTGGAGGCTCTGGGCCCCGCCCCCCATTGGCAGTAAGTCTCCGCCCCTCACGCTTACTCAGGATACAATTTTATATAGTATTGTAATCAGTCAAACCTCCCAGCCACCTAGGTATGGCCCAACTTCATAGTCTTAGCTTCTGTCCTTCCTGCCTGGAACGATATCCATTTCCTAACTTGCTAATGATCATATTCCACCCATGTTGTGTTTTTTTCCAGGTAGTATCTTCAGCAGCTCTGTACTTGCATGAAACGTTTCCATGTTGTGGCTGCCACTCACGGACGATCCCTTGCATTTGCTCTCCACAGACAGGAGATTTCGTGTTTGTTGGCTCCGGGAACGAAGGTGCAGGAGACTGCTTCGTCCCAGGGGTTGTCATAGCAACGCCTTGTAGACTGGACTCCAAGGACAAACTATACACAGTTTTCAAATTCGACGACAGAAAGGTGGGTCCCTGTGAGACTAACGCTGCCATCGATTCAGGGGACCGTCTGCGGTGTGGAGGAGGTACTGAGGATTGACTGGCCAGGAATGAAACACACATCGCCCAAATTCAAAATGGCTGCCCGTAGTAGCTTTCTCCCACTCAGTAATAACAACTAGCAACTTATTTGGCAGAGTGTAAACGAGCAGAGTGAACCAATATATCCATCAAATGTTTATTTTTAAGGAAGGTGTGTAGAGAAGAGACTCAGTGTCAATGTGAGTGCTTTGTGTTGGCCTTCGCAGGTACATATCACACGCAACAAGATCATCAAAATTAGCCAAGCCGGATACAACCTCACCTGCAGCTACATCAGGGAGTGTGAAGGGAGACATGCAGGGTAAGTGAAACATACTCACCCATTAGGTATCTATGTATAGGGTTACATCGCCTATATGTGAAATGTATTGTGTGTCGTAAGGTAAACACAGCAGAGGCTGCCACTCAGGTCTGTGGCCCCAGGAAATCCCAGTAATACTGACGGTAACCAGCAGGGGCTTGTAACTATAGCTACAGGCTCCCAACACAGATGTAAGTTGGCTGTAGGGCCAGTGTGGAGCCATCGGGGCATGAAAGGGCCCCTGGGACTCACTTGTGAGAACCACCTGCGGCTAAAAAGCTTTAGCAATTAGTCTGCTTGAGGTTTTGGTAATTAAAATACTAGTTATTTTGGCAATGTTTATTGACAAGGTGAGACAACAGGGCTTCCTCTGGAGACAGATGCACGATTATCAAAGCTCAGCAGACCTGAAGTGAACGTTTCAGCAAAGTCGTCTTATGTAAACTTGTTACACTGGGGGACTCTTTGGACGATGTCCCAGGGTTTGAGACCATCGAACCATCCCGGTGTTCTCCTCAGGGTGTCTGAGGAACTGCATGGTACAGCTAAAAGTTTGGTGCCAAAGGAGACGAGGATTGCGGTGTCCTGCAGCGCACTAGAGAGGTCAAACTGCCTGAAGGTTACAGGCCATTCCCAGCAAGGAGCTCCGTGTCCAGGGGAGGGGAGAGGCCATGAATAATCTCCAAAGGGATGGGATGCAGGTGAGCCTCCCTGCTGTGGAGCCGGATCTTGTCTTTGAGGGCTGGAGGACCCTGCGCTCATGCAGCACCTGGCTAAGGCCCCTCCTCTTCCCGTTTTTGGTACATTTAGCGCCATTTGGTTCTGACAGCTGCGGTTTGCTGTTGCCTCGAGTCACAGGGGAGGAGCTTGATGTCACAGGGGAGGAGCTTGATGTCACAGGGGAGGGGCTTGATGTCATAGGGGAGGGGCTTGATGTCACAGGGGAGGAGCTTGATTTCACAGGGGAGGAGGTTGATGTCATAGGGGAGGGGCTTGATGTCACAGGGGAGGAGCTTGATGTCATAGGGGAGGGGATTGATGTCATAGGGGAGGGGCTTGATGTCACAGGGGAGGAGNCAGGGGAGGAGCTTGATGTCATAGGGGAGGGGATTGATGTCATAGGGGAGGGGCTTGATGTCACAGGGGAGGAGCTTGATGTCATAGGGGAGGGGCTTGCTGTCACAGGGGAGGAGCTTGATGTCATAGGGGAGGGGCTTGATGTCATAGGGGAGGGGCTTGATGTCACAGGGGAGGAGCTTGATGTCATAGGGGAGGGGCTTGATGTCACAGGGGAGGAGCTTGATGTCACAGGGGAGGGGCTTGATGTCATAGGGGAGGGGCTTGATGTCATATGGGAGGGGCTTGATGTCACAGGGGAGGGGCTTGATGTCACAGGGGAGGAGCTTGATGTCATAGGGGAGGAGCTTGATGTCCCATGGGAGGAGCTTCATGTCACAGGGGAGGAGCTGTTGCCTCGCGTCACAGACTTCAGAGGAGGAGCCACACGGGACAGCGCTTCACTCCTGGACCCCCTCCCCAAGACGTCACTCTGCCTCCAGTCCTGGAACAGCACCCAGAAAGCCCCACCCCTATACAAATTTAGCAGCGTAAACAACAGGATGTGCACGACTCTCACTGGTGTCCATTTAGAAATCACCATATTATTTCTATTAAGGGATCACTTTCGATTAAAAGAAAAAAAAGAAATATAGGTGTTTAGTATTTGAAACTGAAGTTGTATTTTTTTTTATAATTTATTTTGCTAGTGTACAGAATGTACTGGAAAACACCTTCTAAACATATCTAGAACATAACTATTTATATATGGGAAATGTTCTCTGCACAAACACAATCCAGGCCAATAGCAGTGCTTTAGTCACCAATGTCAGAGTTTGAAGATGTTTTTCCCCCTAGTTACCTTTGAGTATTCTGGGTAAATTGAATTAAGGCACTGCTCTGTGTAAACACAGTCACCTAGCAATAAGAGAGTAATTACAGGCTTCATGATACGCTCAGTGGAATAGCTCGGATCTCTTCTGTCATTATGAATGTTACATAGCACTTTTCAGCCAAAATACATTTTACAGAACCAATGACAAGCATCCACCTGGATGATGCACCTCACTTTCACATCTCATCTGAAGGACAGCACCATTTTCACAGCACAGTGTCCCCAAAGCTACACTGGGATCCACACAGACCACAGGATAGACTAACCTGTCAGCTACACCAACACTTGTTACAGCATCAACCCAGCTTTCCTAGTTGGTCTCCCATCCAAGTACTGGCCAGGCCCAAACCTGCTTAACTTCACATGATTACCAGGTCTGACCTGCAGGTGCTCTGGCCGCTGACTAGGAGCTAAAGTGGTGTTTAGTGAATTAGAAGATGTACAAGTGTCAGCATTACTCACCAGCCTGCTGTTTCGAATGGGAGATGACAGACAAGAGGAGCAGGAGAAACTGGCCAGTCAGCAGCTAGAGCTCCTCAGGGAACTGAAGGAGCTGATTCTGCCATCCACGGTAGGAGCCAATCGGAGAAGAGGTGGACCTGGAAGAGCCCCGCCTTCTTTCATTCAGCTGGAAATATGAAAACTGCGGCATGAAGGACGCTGGGCTAAATATGAAAGGCAAGCTGTCTGTTTGCACAGCAGCAGGCGCTGAAGCCGTCAGGGTTTTGTGTGTGTCACACATCAAATTACCTGGAGGTGTTTGGCCATTGTGTATCAGTCCAGTGCTCATGTGCATAACAGCACAGGGATATCATGTAGAAATAAAGTAGGACCGCAATGCGCTCAGGGCCTTGTATTCCGGAAAGTGCTCTGAGTTCAGTGGGCCTTATGGGTAATAGCGGGTCACTCCAATGCTTCTCAATAGCGGGAAAGAGTGGAGCCCTCTGTCAGGAGACGGGAACGGCATGCGTCACACGGCATGGTGTGTTGCAGTGCTGATAGTCATGCGAGGCATTGGGATGCGGGTGATTCATTCCTGCTCATTTTTTTCAAGCTCTTTCGGTCCATTTGCTTATCGGGAAGCTTTGTGACGCTTTGCACCTTCTCTGCATGACAATGCCAGGCCTACTCAGCGAATCCCCTGCCTGCATTTACACGTGGAAGCCCTCCACAGTGGGGCATTCGGGGCCCACATTCGGATTCTGTCTTCCATCTGTGTTAATGCTGCAGTTATACGTTATACGTTTGTTATACATATAGTCATACATTGTGTTATACATTACTTTTACCAGCTGGCCATGTTCATGTTTACATCTGTCTGGTATGAATGAGTGACCGTGCCCCGAGCCGGGATGCCTGACCTTTTTAATGCACAGCAGTCTGATGGTTCCTGTGTAAAGAGGCTTTTAATTGATCCCAGTGCACCTGGACGATGGGAAAAGGCAGGAGGAAGACCACACCCCTCCTCCCCGCAACCAACACAGCTGCCCCTCCTGCTACAGTTCATCACCAAACTCACGTGGGCCGCGCCACTCCTGCAGTGGGGAGGGGGGGAATCGCTCCCTTGCTCAGCACTGAATCCTCTCCCATGTGATGGCTGCTCTCGCTTCCATTTAGCATCCCAATGCCATCAGCAGATTAGCAGAAATCCCATTGGGGTGCTCATCCCCCAGGACAGCCACAGCATGGGCTGTACCTGCAGAAAATCCCCCCGGCACTAATGGTTCGAGCAAAGAAAAATCAGCTAATCAGAGGCTATTTCAGTCACTGGCACCCAGGGAGGAACCTAAAGAACAAAAAAACTTGCCTGTTTTTTGTGATTATGTTTACCAACCTGTTTTTGAAAGACGTCAGAATTAATAATTGAAGATTAATTATGGAAATACCACTCAATGTTACTGCTATGACCTTCCTACTGCAATGTTGATATGCATCAGCTCGATGTACAGTACACAAGTGACACGTGTGAGACAGTCACCCCAGGGACACGTCCTTGGTGGCCGGTGGACAGATGGTGAAGGTTAAGTAGCTTTTAATAGCTTTTGCGGAGGATTTCCTGGGGAAACTAAAATAATTTATGTTATTAAAAACACGAATACTGGGCTGGCAGTAACAGTTCTGCCCTTACACACAGACATGCTCACAAATCTTTTTTCAGTGGAAGCACTGTCTGCTTTTGAAAACTGAGATTTTGTAAAGCAAGTGTTATTCGATATTGTACAACTTCCTTGTTGATGAAGGGGAAATGATTCTGGAAAGATGATTTTAGCAGACTATCACTGGAATTCCTGTGGTACTGCTGGATTATTTGTGTGGGGTCTTTTTGTAGCTGGACCAAATTAGCCGCCTGTCTAATTAATCCCAGGGCTATTCCGGCCTGGCAGTATTTTTAGTGCCCGCTGCAGCTGCCCACTCTCGCTCTGGCACACCGAGCCGGCGCCCATCTGCCGGTAAGCCTGGCAGGGAGCGACCTGTGCTTAACCCCCCCGTCTCCAAGAAGCAGCATTACAGGGCTCATCTGGGGGCAGAGGGCTAATCCAGGATTATCTTCTCGGATAACATTGCGGACTTGCTGCTCTGGGAACAGATCCATCATTCTAGAATGCTCTCCCAGGCTGTTTGGTGTTCTCGTATTTTCTTTCATGCTCAGAGTTACTCACTGATATGAAACTGAAATATTAATATTAAACATTGTGAGATCTGCCATACAGCCAATACTGGCCTATTTCATGTGCTGAAGGTAGAAGTTGCTTCACTTGAAGTTGGCTTCTTTGGTCCTATTGCCTGTGCTGGCTGCACTGCTGTTACTCTGTTCCACGAAGGATTGATTCATAATAATCACATTTCCCCTGTATAATGCATGAATCAGATCTCATTTGTGTATAACAGCTGCAGCTATCTTTGGTTGTATGGTGTTCTGCCTGTAATAGAACATTTCAGCTACCGAATATATATTTTCAGGGCCCTATATGTATTGATATTAATATCATGATGATTCAGTACTGAATGTGGAGGAGAATAGTCATTTTTTAAATACAATGTGTCTGCAGTTTTTCATTTAGCACAAAATCCAGAATCTACAACTGCTCCTTAAATAATCTCATCCAAATATCCCTGATTTAATAAACATATATGGGTACAATCCTCCTTTTCCTGCATGATTCAACAGCACTGTGTTAATTAGCAGTATCTGGCCTTCATAAAGCACTAATTCTTCATGGCATGATGTCCTCTGTGACCCCTATCCCAACACAGCACCTTCCAATGATGCGAACACGCAAATGGTCATCTACGACTCAAATCCAAGGGCTCTCCAAGCACTGACTGCAGATGTGAGCATCAGTGGGCTGTAGAGCACTTGAAGCTGACCAGATGGCGCTTCTGAATAATAAACATACGATGGACGTTAAGCGTCAATGTGCTGCAAATTCAGAAAACACAAGTTAAACAAAAATCGCTGCAAATCTGCTCACAATACAATGGATGTTTCCAGGAGATAATAAGACAATCAGGGCTGGGTGACATATCGAATGTTTACAGTATATCAATCACCAAATTGCCCATAGGTGTGAGTGTGCCCTGTGATGGTTTGGCGCCCCCTTCTGGGTTGCTCCTTCCCTGGCACCCGTAGCCTCTGGCATAGGCTCCCGAATAGGACGAGTGGTTACAAAAAATTAATGGGATATAGGATGGTGCAATACTGTTTATATTGATATATTTCAACTGTGTATTAAAATTAGGGCTGTGCTAAAGATTCTGAATAGAGAGCAGTACAGTAGCGTTCCTTCCTCGTGAGCTTCGGTGGTGACGCTGCACAGAATCCTCGCATTGACAGCTAAAATCAAACCATTCACTTAGCGCCTCACAGGGAAATTAAAAGCTAGTCCACCAGTCTCATTCTCCTCAGGCTGAGAATTTCTTTGTCTTTTAATTATTGAGAAACAAAAATTTATTAAGCATACTCAAGTGAACTCACAAGTGAAAATCAGAGAGCTCAAGGTCCCAGGGGGGCATATGATTACTGAGCACAGGACTTAAACCCACAACCTTCTGTACATGCATGGGCACAGACCCCTATCCGCTGAGCTACACACTGCCCATTGAATTTGCTTAGAGAAACTTACAGCAATACGGCCACAATCACCTGCGGTTCCTCAACTGCTGAACCTCTGACAAATGAATTTAAGAATAAAATATTTTGATGGTTCCGTTTCTACGGTCTTTTTTTTCTTCCGCGAAAAACAAACATGTAGATACACATGCAGACCAAGAAGCAGAGAAGATCGCCTTTGCCTGTCCGCGCGGTAAATTAAGCACCTTTTCACTTCCACATTTGCATTAAACTTGCGGGAATTAGCATGTGGAGTCCTTTTGGAGGGCAGCTCGAGCCGCCGCGCTGCCCTCCTTCGCGTTTTCACATGAAGCCCTTTTTGCTGTCAGGAAAAAGGCAAACGTGCTTCACGGAGACTCTGATGCTGGTGGTGAATTTGTCATGATTTAAAAAAAACCCCGATATATATAAAGGACGCTTTTCTAGTTTTCCTTTAAATCGTTCTTAAATCTAAGCGATTAATCACGTGCACTGTTTCAATATGACAAAAACTGCTTAAGACAATCCGTGATTAATCTGTAATTAAAGCAAAAGCTTAAACATCAACCATCAGAAACATACGAACAACACTTCTATCTGAAATTAATGCATACATATATGTATGGGGGGGGTGCATTTCAGCTGGAGACCTACTCTGAACAGGTGAGATCATTAGACATAAAATTATAACAGAAGAATCCATCAACAGACCCTGTCGTGATAGCGGAAGGCCGCTGAGCCGCCGCTCCTTGGGGCTGATGAATATTAAGAGAGGCGGCGTGACGCCCCATGCGCCTTTTCTCCGGCTCCGATCCGCCTCGTACCGCGGAGCTGTCTGTCCACCAGGTGCTGAAACGCACGATCGATTTTATCCCCATTTACTGGATGTGATCGACACGTCTTGGATTTTATACGAATCAACTCTAAGTGGAAGCAATGGACATGTTATGGACATTTACTGAAGACAGGAGGTGATGCAATTGAAAGGATACTATTTATCAAAATGGTGATGTTCAGCATCAGGCTGGATTGGATTATTTTTGGAATCTTTTCTTCCACAAGTGCCTGAAGACAACAGGTTGTAATAACTCTGCGTTCAGGTATATGTGATGTGAGGCTGGTGCTGCGGACGGGACTTTGTGTTGTGAATTCAGGCTGATCTGGTATTAAGGTTCCTGCCGCTGTCACGGTTCAGTAAAAACACTGCAAAAGTGATGCTAAAGTTTCTAAGCAAAACATAATTACCAGTTTCTGATCATAACTAATTAGCCTGAAGATTTTGTTACTCTGAACCGTGAATGAAATACAATATGAAAAGCACATATATTACTACGTATAAAGTAGAGTGTTCAGATCTTTAAATGTAGGCCTAATCTAAATGTAGCCTATGTAGCCTAACATGAGTGTTCTCTAATGTACATGCAAATTATTAAACAATGGTGCCGGCTGTAGTAATTTCAGCTATGCTTATTTTGAATACACTCCAGATTAAACTAGTAAAGGTATTAATGTAAGGTTACTTCTGTTTGTTCATAATGCGCAGAAATTGCAGTTTGAAAGTGGAAGGTCGGCATGCAGTGAATGCAGTGTTAATCCGTATTAATTCCAGCGTATCCGTACCCTGGGCCAATTACTTTAACAGAACATTTAGCCGCTAACATGCAGTCTTCTGTTAAAGAAGATAGTTACACATCTTTCAGTTGTACATAAAGTAAATATCTATCATTCAGCAGAGGTTAAAACAGAATCTATAGTTTACTTGCACATTGAATTTCCTGCTTTTGTTTAAATAAAACATAAAAAAGAATTTATTCTCTACCTTAAAAATGTGCCTTACAAACCCAAATACAATCGCCTATTGGCAACTGCTCGTGAGACGCGGTTATCCTAACACGCTAAATTAATCACATTCCATAATGTGTAAAATACTGTAGTAAACTAGTATTTTAGATCACAATGTCAAAGTCTCACCAATCACGTCACTCCTCTCCTGCTTGATTTCAACACATACTTGTTCCTCCTCCTCCTCATTAAACTGATTATAATAGCAAATCATTTAAAACCACATATTTTACTGGGTGATTCCCCGTGAGCACAATCTGTGCCCCTGTCAGATTAGTGAAGTAACCAAGGAGATCTTCAGGCATGTTTTTCATTACCACTCATTATATTTGTACGGCTTATGGCGAATCCAAATGACCATGCAGAAGAAATTGATGAGAATATATTTTGCTGGTAAAGTATGGTAGAATATCCAGCCTTTCAAAGTTAAAATATATTCACCTTCTGACGCTGTTTGCAACGTCTAAGCAAAGTGGGAACTTGGGACAATGGCGTTATATGTTTAAGAAGCATTCAATGTCGAATGGGTGGATAATCACCACTGCTTGGTGTGTGCATAATGAAAATGATTGCGGTCAGAGCACTGGAGTGTGTGTGTGTGTGTGTGTGTGTACAAACATTGTAACCCTGCCCCCCCCCCCCCCCCTTCTGTTGGGCAGTGGCTAGATGTGACCTAAAGATGGCGAAAATCTGCACCGAGCATTCGTACCCCAGCCAGCACGGGCTGTGGGTCGGCACCCCGGAGGATGACCTTGACTGCGTGGAGAATGGCATCAGCAGGTCAGAGCCTGGCCCTGGCTCTGCAGTGCCCACAGCTTTCAGTAAATGTTTTGCTAGCTGTGATGTCATAATACCAGTTCTCACCTCACACCCTTAGGCAATCATGAAAACACTTCCAGTATAAATCTCCTAAGCCCACAATGATGGAACATTTAACTTGGCATGCAGCTAACTTCATTTTATGAGTTTCTAAGCATGGATTTTATTTCCTAAAATGGCCCGTGAATGTCTGGGTTGCAAACTGTGTCACACTTCAGCTGTCCATGTGTAAGGCTCAAGCCTTTGAAGAAATCTTAACCAAAAGCCTCTTAAGGCTGTTCTCATCAAAGAAGGACTTATAGAGCTGGCATGGACAGCGTTTTCTATCTTCTATACCCTGTCTTCACAGCACGCTAAACTGCCGTCCTCCGAAATGGAAACAGAAAAATAAAAAATAAAAAATCCGCCTGTTGAGCGCACCATAGAATGGCGTTTTTGTTACATTATGTGACAAAGCTGACAGGGAATTTTTGTTGTCAGGGCGACCTCTCTCTGCGACGACACCTCTTCTGATATCCAAGGAGTCTCCTCACTGGCCACCAGCAGACTTCCAGAGTCCCACAGAAGCTCCTTCACAGGCTCTGGAGCCATGGCAAGGTTGTTATCCACGCTGCTCCGAACCTTGAGTAAAGACCACACACCCCAGTCATCCCAGTAAATAATACCCATTCAGGAATCCTTACCTATTCACAGTCCCAGACCCACCCACACAAGAGAGATGAATTCGAGACTGCCCACAATGATCACTCTACTCAAACACTGATCTTGACAAAGACTGCCCACAATGATCACTCTACTCAAACACTGATCTTGACAAAGACTGTCCACAAAGACCAGTCTACACCAAGGTGCACTCCATGAAGCCGGATTTCTCAGTTAGTTGGGTTCACTTAAGCTAGAAGTCATGATTGTCCAATTAAAGTTTAGGTAAGGAGAATTCCTATTGGACAATCTTCTAGCTTATTTTAACCCAGGTAACTAAGAAGTCCTGCTTCGCGGAACACCCCCCGGTCTACTCAAACAGAGTATTTGGTGTGTTTGGTTACCACTGTCTTCCTGGTCACCAGTAACAGCACCAACCTTCTCTTTCAGGCTCTCCCACTTCATGTTCATGCTGAGGACCTGGGCTTCCCACACCTTAACCCAGGAAGCAGAAAGACCAGACTCCTTCCTAGAACGGTTCCGCGGCCCTGAGCTCAAGGAGGTCTCCAGCCGAGGAAGCCAGGGCCAATCGTCCACTGGCCACCCAGGTGGACCTCAGAAGAGGAAGTAAGTCTCCTGGGGGGGACGGGGGGGGCATCCAGCATGAACCTGCCGGACGGTGCCGAGTGTCATTCTCAGTCCTGTTTAAGCTACTGATGGTATAACTTTGCTCAAAATTGTAGTTTATATACAAATATGAAATATTGACCGTAACTGGGTTCCGAGTTTGATGATTCCAAATAGGAGCAAGAGACCGTAGGAATATTTAATGGATCTGTTTTTATTTACAAGTCGTATCAGTCATTGGCCACTGGCTGTTCTTAATATCAACAACTGTAACAACACAGATGAGTAAGTGTATTGGTCCTCTGGTACATCTTTTACACTCCTTACTTAGTAATTTGTCTACAATTACTTAGTATTTGTCACTTTACTTTCTCTCCGGGTGAAACCGGAGGGAAACTAAAGTATCCAGTTTCTAATGGGATGTGGAGGTATTTAAAAGCACAGCATAAAGCGCCACACAGCAAATAATCACCACCTGATATGACTACTGAAAGGGATTTATGTTTCACCACAATATATGACCCTGCAAAACTGTAAAATGATTTCTAAAATACAACGACGATGATGACGATTACTTCCACGTCCCTAACTTCCCTTCTCTTTAATATGCTCTGGAAACCTCAGGGTTCACAGGATAATATTAAAATATATTTTGGAAAATCAGACTTGTTAAAACACACTGAATGTTAAAACTTTCTTCTCCAATCTTTTCCAATTTGGAATGGTCTGCAGAAACTCAGTGCTCACTGGCATGTAAAATAATTGCCTTGGAAGTCTTTAAAAACTCAAAAACGAGACAAAGTTTTACATTGGAATCAGAGCCTCATTTTTATTTTCATCAGCAAACTATCCCTTGTTTTTGTGGTCTAAAAAAAGCCACTAAGTAAAAATATTAAGAAGTCTGATTTTGGCACCTTTTTTCAGAATACCAACATAATTCATTTAAAGATTCACCACAAAAACACAGGGATAAAATAGGCTCTCTCCAAACCAGAGTTCCTTTTGAAGTCTGCTTGGTTGGTGTTGGGTGCAGTAGCTGAGCTGAGACAGGCTATCAGCAAGGATTGGTGGGCTACTCTGCCCCCTGCTGGTCAAATATGAACCTGCATGCTCACACTGGAGCTTTCAGACCACAGAAAATCAGTGAGGACTTTAAAAGTGATTGGACAAGTAACTGTCAGTGACCTAAAAGCTCAGAAAAAATTAATTAACTGAAGACAAACTCTGCAATCACACCAAATATGCATGCCATAAGTCCTCTTGTCCTCCTGGGGCAATTAGTGGTTCTGATAGCCCAGTCTGAAGAGATACATAGAACTCCCTGCAACTCCTTCCCTTGATGAATAGAGTGTATCCACTCTAGACAGAACCATAGCTTCTTAATAATGATAACTGCCGTCTTGCTGAGCAATGCAAAACAAGGGAATAAAAACACATCGCATTTAGCAAAAAGGAGGACAAGAAGGAAACAATAAAAGGAGAGAAAAAAGATGGAGATAAAAAGGAGGAGAAGAAAGATGAAAAGAAGGAAGAGAAAAAGGATGAGAAGAAAGACGAGAAAAAAAAGGAGGAGCCGCCGTGAGTATCTGATGGGTTACTTACTGGGGAGTAGAGGAGCCGGTTCAGTAGAGCAGTGCAGAACTCTTTAAACATCCCATAAATGAATCAAAAAGGCTGACTGGAAGGGAGCCCATTCTGATGGACACTCGACTGAACCGGAGAGCAAAGTGAGAACAGCAATTGGGGATTTGCCGCAAATTGTGGATTTGCCGTGACTGATTTCTAACTCTTTCAGGAAAGAGGTATGGATCATGGACCCAGCGACAGACTTGTACTACAGCTGGCTCACCATCATCGCGGTTCCCGTCATGTACAACCTGATGATGCTGATAACCAGGTCTGTAATGGGCACCCCATTACTGGGTATGGCGGGAGGGTGATCCGGGGGCCAGAGCATGTCAGTTCTGGGTGGTTTTCAATCATGTCTTTCAGATAGCAGTCTCCATTCCAAAGGAGATGGTTTAGACTGTCTTCATTATGATTTAGGCTGATGGTTCCATGATGGTTTAAGCTGATGGTTCCGTGATGGTTTAGGCTGATGGATCCATGATGGTTTAGGCTGATGGATCCATGATGGTTTAGGCTGATGGATCCATGATCGTTTAGCCTGATGGATCCATGATGGTTTAGGATGATGGTTCCCTGATGGTTTAGGCTGATGGATCCATGATGGTTTATGCTGATGGATCCGTGATCGTTTAGCCTGATGGATCCATGATGGTTTAGGATGATGGTTCCCTGATGGTTTAGGCTGATGGATCCATGATGGTTTAGGATGATGGATCCATGATGGTTTAGCCTGATGGATCCATGATGGTTTAGGATGATGGTTCCCTGATGGTTTAGGCTGATGGATCCATGATGGTTTAGGATGATGGTTCCCTGATAGTTTAGGCTGATGGATCCATGATGGTTTATGCTGATGGATCCATGATGGTTTAGGATGATGGTTCCCTGATGGTTTAGGCTGATGGATCCATGATGGTTTATGCTGTCTCCATTATGTCTCCATTCACACCTGCTCATGCTGCTCATACCTGCCTTTTAAGCTGCTGCTCATTTCCTTCCAGGGCCTGTTTCAACGAACTCCAGGAGAGTTTCACTACACTATGGATTGTTGTAGATTACTCCTCAGATTTCATGTACCTCGCTGACACGTTTGTCAGGTCAAGAACAGGTGAGGTCCTTGGTCTAAACAATATTGTTGACCTGTACTGTTCACTTAAAGCAAGAAAGCAAACATTAATTTTTCTGACAACAATTTGTCGTGAAGTAAATCAGGGGTTTTTTCTACTTTTACATCCCAAGACAAACATTTTCTTTAACAGGTTTCCTGGAACAGGGATTACTTATAAAAGATGTGAAGAAACTGAGAGAGCATTACAGGAAAACCCAGCATTTCAAATACGACATAATTTCAGTGCTACCAACTGACATTTTCATGCTGAAAGTAGGGATCAACATTCCAGAGCTGAGGTTCAACCGCCTCTTCAAAATTTCAAGGCTGTTTGAGTTCTTTGATCGCACAGAGACCAGAACTAATTACCCCAACATTTTCAGAATCAGCAATCTTGTGCTTTACATTCTCATCATTATCCATTGGAACGCTTGCATTTTCTTTGCCATCTCCAAGGTCATTGGCTTTGGTACAGATACCTGGGTATATCCCAACATCAGTCACCCCGAGTATGGGCGGCTGTCCAGGAAATACATTTACTGCCTGTACTGGTCCACGCTTACCCTAACCACCATAGGAGAAACACCGCCCCCTGTCAGAGATGTGGAGTACCTCTTTGTAGTGTGTGACTTTCTCATTGGCGTGTTGATTTTCGCAACCATCGTTGGTAATGTTGGTGCCATGATCTCCAATATGAATGCCTCCCGTGCAGAGTTCCAGGCCAAGATTGACTCCATCAAGCAGTACATGCAATTCCGGAAGGTCACCAAGGACCTAGAGGCCAGGGTGATCAAATGGTTTGACTACCTGTGGACTAATAAAAAGACTTGTGATGAGAAGGAAGTGCTGAAGAACCTGCCAGACAAGCTGAAGGCTGAGATTGCCATCAACGTGCACCTTGACACACTGAAGAAGGTGCGCATCTTCCAGGACTGCGAGGCCGGGCTGCTCATCGAACTGGTGCTGAGACTGCAGCCGCAGGTTTTCAGCCCTGGGGACTACATCTGTAAGAAGGGTGACATAGGCAGAGAGATGTACATCATCAAGGAAGGCAAGCTGGCTGTGGTTGCCGACGATGGTGTCACACAGTTTGTGGTGCTAAGCGATGGTGCCTACTTCGGTGAGATCAGCATTCTGGGGATCAAGGGAAGTAAGGCGGGGAACCGAAGAACTGCCAACATCCGGAGCTTGGGCTACTCTGACCTCTTTGCCCTTTCCAAGGACGACCTGATGGAGGTACTCACCGAATACCCAGAGGCCAAAAAGGCCCTGGAGGAAAAAGGGAAGGCCATCCTAATGAAAGACAACCTAATCGACGAGGCTGTAGCCAACACCGGGGCAGACCCCAAGGACCTGGAGGAGAAGATCATCCGGCTGGAGACCAACCTGGATGTCATGCAGACCAAACTGGCCAAACTCATGGCTGAGTACACAGCCAGCCAGACCAAGATTAAGCAGAGAATCTCCAACATGGAGTCCAGGGTCAAAACTCTCAGGGAGGAGGATCTCTCAGAGGTTGTTGAAGACAAGAAGACTAAGTAATTTCATGTACAGTGTTACTATACATCTCCAACACAGCAGCAGTGTTGCAAGAGTTTCATCCCTACTGCCATAGCTGCACTTACCACATTAATTTTGTACCCATCAAATCTCTGCTACTAATTGCGTGTATATGTTTATGTGTGCCGTTTTATGTATTTATGTTTAACATGTTAGAGGCCTGTAATGTACTTTATTTGTATTGTAACAGACTGTGAAGACAAATATCCTAATAAATAGATAACCTTTATTGTCATATCTATCTATCTATCTATCTATCTATCTATCTATCTATCTATCTATATTTTATNATACAGATGTTTTTTTGTAAAACATTTTGCATAAATCTCATAAGGTAGTCTGGGACATAAAAAAATTGTTTATAAAGATAAATTTGTGTAACATGTCATTTTGGTTTAAAAATGGATCTTTTTACCTGTCAGGTTTAAATGTTTCATGTATAAATATACAGCCTCCGTTGTGTGCAGGATGGTACAGCTGTCATGGAAGACCTGGTTACTGAACATCTTTGTCTGCACAGTAGATGATACTAAAGGAACCGTTCACATCAACTCAGAATATGCTATTCCTAGCAGCAAGCAGGAACACCGGAGGGGCTTGGATACCCTGGCAGATCCAGGGGTCCCTGCACTTTACACGAGCCCCCAATGGATATTTCTGGGTCTCCCCCACTCAGCAAATTCTACCTGCTGGTTCATCCATGTTTCTTCAGATTGAAATTCCCGGCTACGCCCCAGGCAGCAACGTCACGAGACACACTGACAGGGACAATTGGCATCTCTGCATGGAATAAAACCCCATAGTTTGCATAGTTAATCTCAAGCCACATTAATTGTACAGGCAGATTGGAGGGCAATCACAATTTGCAGGCTTTAACATCGTCCCCCAGCACAAATAACCCTTTGCTGGACAGGAACAGACTCTCTCAGCGGGCCGAGTGACATTGGGCTAACAATCATGCACGTGTTGGCAGTGATGAGGCGTGCTAATTATAGGCTGAGCAGATTACTCTGAGACAGTTTGAACAGTGACTCTATCTGCATTTATTAAAATGTGTCAAATGTACTTTAATTCATGCATTTAGCATCTGAAAATCTTTCAGATTTCAATAAAATCTGATAATACTAAAACACACAGGTTCAACTTTTAATTGAATATTCCATGAATGTATTTAGCATTAGAATTTATTATTATTGTGAGCTAAACAGTTTTGTAAGTATGTAATGTCTAATATTGTGATGGAAACCGTGTACCCTGGGTAGATATTTCTACCTCTCTTTCCTGTGGTAATATTTTATCAGCAGTTCCCATAGTAAACCATTCTGCTAGACTGAAATGTTCTGCAGTGGTACATGGTGTCCATTTGTAAACCTGTATTCATTTTCCATTGGCGGACTGATCAAGGCTGAACTGTGTTTATGTCACCAGCAGCTCCAATCACCTCCCTGACAACAGACAATGAGGCCTGGGCTGCATTTGACTGTGTTATTAGCAACCGCCGGTTCTCCAGGGGAATGGGGACCAAACACACAGCAGAACAGTTCTCTGTATCCAAAATAGGTTTTTACACTTTCTGCTTGGTCAGTAAGCCAAGTTGCACTTGATGGTGAGTGACTAGAGGCAATATGACAGAAAGAACGAGGGCTACTGACTCAGAACAGTCACAAAAGATCATCTCCTTCAACTGGAGGGAGGAGAGTGTGTTGAAGAAACAGCTAAGCTCTCTGGAGGCCATGAAGAGGCAGGTGGAGACCTCCTTCAACCTGGACCAAAGGCTTCTTTACCATCGCTTTCAGGGTAGGCTGCAGAGAGCTGCGCTGACCCACACGTGCCTGGGCATGCAGAGGGAGACCAGCCACACTGCAAAGTGTGGGGCCATTGTGGACACATGTTGTGGTAGCACTAGGGGGGCACTAGGGGGGGGCGTCTGGATGACGCAGGGAAAGATGCTAATCCGTAGTGGACACCAGGTACCTACAGCTTCTCGAGGACAAGCGTCAACCAGGACAGTCGGGGAACCCATCAGGTACTCATCCCAGAAGGCTTCCTGGCAGAACAGGAGATGTGCAACCTCAGATACTAATGCTCAGGAAAGAGAAGCCATCAGCAGAAGAGGAACACGACTGGCCAAGAAAGCACATCCCTGGAGTGCTGCAGTGAACGTCCATCAGGCAGACGAGCTTTGGCACAAATCAGGAACATCACATATGGAACTAACAACGCCAACGATAAAAGATGAATCCCCTGGGCTAACACCAACTAGCACCGCTGGTCAAATCAGAACCCTCTCCCAGGAAAGGGTACCAAGTGTACGTCCAAGATCCTGTGCAAGCTCTGCACCTCTTACAATGGCAGGCAGCAACGGGACCTCCCTGATCCCAGTGAGCCGGCAGAATGACCTGGGCGAGAGGATCCGCCGCTTTGTGCAGAGTGCGGTAGTGCAAACGCGGCATCGGGGCGTGACCTCCACCACCGACAACGCCCAGAGCCTGGGGGAAATCCTGGGCGATGGCAAAAGGAAGAGGGTCCCCATGGATCAGCTACCGCATGCCACCGAGGGAGAAGATGAGCAGAAGTGGCGGCCGACAGCCAGCAGGAGCCTCACCATGCGAAGCCTGGACTACAGGTCCTCCCACTGTGATACTCCTGTGGAGTTTCTGGTCTTAGAGAGCTACAGTGCCCTGGTGACCAAGGAGAACTTGGAAGAGAGAAAATGGATGAACAACAATCCTTACAATGGAAGCTTCTAGATCTCTGTAGATGAGGACAGTTATGGTAGCTCCTCACCTTCAGGATAAAGATGCACAACTTCATGTGCCATTAAACAATTCACTGTACAAGCATTAGTTTCTGTAATTAAAGGTAAATACTGTCTCACTGTGAATCCAAGTCTATGAAGCAGGTACTGTAAACAGCAACTATTAATTATGCATAATCAGCACAATGAAATACCTATTGATGAAGATTCCTGATGCATTGAATATGTAACCGTAACTTCAGATGCCAAGGAAACAACCTACCAACAGAAGAATTTTAACAATGCTTACAACAGCAGCCCTGCGCCTTAACAGCACACTGCAAGATGCAGTTTTGGGCTATCCATTGGGTGTTTGGAGGTTACTTGCAGTTTTTGGCTATCCATTGGGTGTTTGGAGGTTACTTGCAGTTTTGGGCTATCCACTGGGTGTTTGGAGGTTAGTTACAGTTTGGGCTATCCACTGGGTGTTTGGAGGGTTACTTGCTATAAAAAACTGCTGAGACAGAGGAATGAAATCCAAACTACTCACACCTGACAGGAATAGTGTGCTGCCAATTCCATCTGAAGTATCTGAACTGAGACTTAATAAGGACAAAGGCAAATTTAGGGTGTCACGTGGACCCCACCATGAGAGGAATATGTTCCCAGAAGCGTTTCCCCCAAAGCTTCTTCCAGTACCACCATCGTCTTTGGCCTGGTAACAGTAACTCGACTATTATCAGATACTGAGAGACAAATATTCTAGAGAGATTTTGAGACGACCCAGACTTGACCTTGTCAGGTAAGGATGCACTGTACCGTCCACAACAGTGCTCAGTAATAACCGATCATGTATGTACATATGTACACACACACTTAGGAAACTTCCCCAGTAAACATTTAAATTTACACATCTCTGCGTATTAGTTACACATTGATCAAGTCAAAGCACCAGTGTCATAAAAAGCTCCTCGTCAGTGGAAGGAAAAAAATAATCAGACCCAGTAGAGCTGCTTGAAGGGTGCATTTCGGTTATGGGATACAAAGTTCAGCGTGTTCTGCATATACATCATTTTTTTCAAAAACCATTGATGTTTCATAATACTCCAGCAACCCCTAGGTTGATCAAGAGCACTGTGGTACTGGGGGGTGGTTTTGACGGACTCCTGATATTTGTTTAGTCAGCTGGCGTCTACAGGGGTCAAGTGAAAATGAACAATCATTTCTTTCAAGGGACACAAAGGGAAAAAAATGCAGTCACTTTTATTTTGCTTCATGTTTACATACCACATGTTCACTTTCTGCAGTTTTAAATCTTTTCATTTTAGGGGGAGGGAGGGCTGGTGGGTATGTTAATTCAATTAAACCTACAAACAATGAACCGTGTCCCTTATGAGATCTGCCACAATATCACATTTTTCTTCAACGCTTCCTTTCTTCTGGGGTCCAGAGTTTCCAATGTCGAAGTTCCATGGAATCCGCAGTAGTACAAACCACAGGAAAATTAACTTAAAAGCAACACAAACCGTGAGATCAGGGCTCGATCATCAACATGCACTCTCGGAATATCTCTAATAGTGGTTTGATTCAAGCAGCTTTTCTGACTGCGAAACCCTGTGCAGTATCAAGGTCCAGCTAAGAGCCGAAAATGTCAAAGGTCACCACAGCGTTTTCAGTGGCTTGTTTTTCTCCCCCCCAAAAACCTTCAGTCTCAGGTCTTGCACTTAAAGATAAGGGAGGGAGGGGTTTGACATTCCAACATTTTTTTCAAAAGCATCAGTTAGCAACTCAATACATTTTGGGCAGGGAGGGAAGAGGCAAAAAAAAATTAAGTAATTGGTAAAATCAAAAATAATGCAGAAAAAAGCATTTAAACCTAAAGGGACACTGGCCATAGGTAGCAGCACTATTTGACCGAAAAAGGCCGTACAAATGGTGCAATTATGTAATAAATACAGACCCTCTGAAACACAGGGAAGATACGTGTGATGTGTGTTTCCAAATCCCATCCTCGGGGTCCCACAGACAGTCCATGTTTTTGCTCCCTCCCAAGTCCCGAGCAAAAATGTGGCCTGTCTGACAGGGAGCTGGGAGGGAGCAAAAGCATGGAGCGACGGTGGGTCCCCGAGGATCCGGATTGGGAGACACTGCTGTAGAGAGTGGGAACCGGGAAGACTTCGGGGCGACAGAGCGGGAAAAACAAAAGGCCATGGTGAAAGGCAGGCAGCACAGTTCCCTAACATTCGGATTTTTTTTTAAGTGCACTTTCATTTGCTCAAGGAATAAACACTCAAATCCTTTGTGACATGTAATATTCATCTCTCTGCTCATGAAAATCATGTGGAAAACACTTTTTTTTTTCAATTACAAACACTACTTTAGATCACCAAGAAGGACGACACAACGGTAATGTATGTGCGAGGTGCCTCCCTATGCGCTCCGTTTAGGAACTCAGACTTCAAAGATTCCAGATCATTAAAATGCTTCCTTCTGCTGTCTTACAGATAGGGAACGAGGGTCAGTTTCAACACCAAACCAGGAGGGGGCATGATAATGTGAGGACTAAGTAACAGAGCCGGACACTACAACACTGAAGGTCTTCCTCTATTATTCATTCGTACAGAGACCATTTCTCAGCGATGACATGATCTTTTTTTTTCCCCCACAGCAAATCGTCAACCTTTCCTACACCAAAACAAAAAAAAAAAAAAAAAAAAAGAATTGATTTAACCCTTAAAATAAATAAGGAAAAAATCGATTCTGTACAAACTAGACAGGGAGATATGTAAAGCAAACACAGGCAGGGAGTTTGATCATGTGGTTTCTCTGCTGCCCCAGTGGAACCAGCGCATGTGGACCTGGACCAGGAGGTCGCCACAGACGCTAGCGCCCTCTACAGGACGGGCCTCCGGAATTTTTCACTATTATTTTATGTTTGTTTGTTTGTCGTTTCCTCCGGCAGGGACAGCGGCACCCAGCCGCGCTGGCTTCTCCACGGTGAGCTCTCTCTCCTCGCAGCCGCGGCTGGCTCACAGCATGCCGAACCCTTTGGCGTACATGATGGCCTTCAGCAGCCTCTCCCTCAGCTTCTCCCGGCTGCTGTACTCAGGGAGCAGCAGAACATTGAAGCAGGTGTGCGACGTGGGCAACCTGAGAACGGCATGCCGTGGGTCAGAGCGCGCCGCAGAAATCGCCCATTTCGTTCTCCGCTTTCTTTCACGTTAAGAGCAGCGTGTGAAAAATGATGCTAATCGCCTGAAACAAACCCCACTCATTCTCCTCAGCCTGCAGTAGCAGCAAGGAAGCAAGCCGGCTGAAAACCTACACCTGAGAACTTTAGCAAATATCCATCCATTTACATCGGTAGGAAAGAAATTTATCCTAATTATGTCTGACACCAAGATATTTAAAATCATCATGCATTATGTCATTCTGCTCCACCATGTTCTCAACGAATAAACTAAAATAAAAAACTAACTGTTTGTCCATCATTTTCCAACAGCCCCACCCCTTCTCTGAGCCAATGAGGTGTCCCTTTGGCCCCGCCCCTCGACCTTACCTGTCTGTGTCAGGGCCGTTCTTAGCAATTATCATCTTAAGCTTTCCCAGCCCCCCCACGGGCGCCCGGTCCGTGCCCGTGGTGAACTGCAAGAACAGCCGCTTCTGCTCCTCCCCGAAGGAGTGCACTGTTTCCCAGAAGTCCCTGGGGCAGCCAAACATTCCAAATTACCATTCTGTACTCATTTCTGGGCTCAGATTAACGACGACATTTCTGACAAGAAGCTCAACCGAAATTCACAAGCTGGTGTGAAAATGTACATTTTGTAAAGATGAATTTACCTAATTATGCGGGAGTCCTTGTTGTAACCGCCGTCATATTCCGTTGTTTCCTCCAGCGCTAGAAAGTCTAAGTTCTGGGTTTGGTGCAGAACAGAATGTTTAAACAGGAGGGCAGCTGTTTGGAAAAATCATACATGAACAAGCAGAACGGTTCACTTGTGGTGTAAGGCTGCCTCACCCTGCTTCCACAGATTAGTAGCTCAATCTCTTCAGGTCGAAATAAATATTTTAGAGGCGACTCGTTAGTGACCATGTGAAAACCTCTTCTGAATGCCTTGAACTGCTTTTCTACTGTTTTGTTGAGCATGAACTCAGCATACAGGGCGACAAACTCCTGCGAACGACAAAAAGATTCAGCACTTTCTCCCTCAGAAATTGTATTCCGAGAACTTTTGCTGATTCAAGACATCCTGAAAACCCATTTCCCCCAACTGGTTGGCACCATGACATAACTCACACCTAACCTAAAATTAAGCCACTCACTGAAGTGGGTAAGATGGGAAGCACAGGTGACTATTACTCGAACCCCTACACCCTCAAGCCATATCACTGGCGGAGCAACACAGATGTCGGTTCACCTTTCTGTTCTCGTTGGTAACTGGTATTTTGTCTCCATTCTCCCGCAGGTTGTACATGAGGGGGTTTCCAAAAAGGTCAGTCTGGGATATCTGGAAGGTGATCATCATGTCTTCCTCTACGCTGCCCTCATACTCCAAGAGCTCCTTCAGACTCTGGTAGAGAACCTGCAAGGTCAGAGCTGCACTCAGCAATGCTAAGGACTGGCCAGTCAACACCACAGGCCCATGGATGCTCGATCACGTCGGACGTCAACACTGCTACCGTTAAATAAGTTCCATGGGAGTAGCTGGCTTGCTATTTGACTCTCTGAGGTCATAAAGAATCCCTGAGCATCTTCTGAAAGTGTAGGGGGGTTCCCCGATGCCCTGGCTAAATTGCCCATTGTGGTGTTTTCAAATCTGGCCTCCTAATCATCCTCCTAATTGGTGAATTCTTTTCTGGCCCTTCACCACATCGGCTACTGTGTGGTGAGCGTACTGGCACAGAATAGCTACTGTCGCATCATCCAGGTGGGCGTTACATGGTGCTGGTGGTGGAAGTGGCTCCCCATTGGTTCTGGATGTTGTAACGTAATGTAACGTGACGTAACATACATACATATATACTCGAGCATCATGCAGAAACGATGAAAAACCATCACAATTTAAAGAAGAGAAATGGTCTTCAGAGGATTTCCAGAGCATTTCGAAGAACAATCAGTTACCGGGTGAGAATCTGCCAGGTCTCGGAAGGTTCCTTTCTTGCCCAGTAACTTCCTGTAGACCACCATAGGGAAGTGGATGTCGAGAATGCAGTTGTTGTAAATGGCCAGGCCCAGGACGATCCCGATGAGGGTGAACTGACCCTCATTCTCAAAGGAGGACGGATTGAACCAAAACAGCTTTGTGGTTTCGTCATATGTGAACATTCCTGCAGGGGACGTTGAGATCAAAATCAGGACTGAGCTGAAAAGAACTGGAAGAACTCCCCAAGGCAGCCACGGTTTATGTATTATGCATTGCACTCCACTCCCTAAAGAATTCAACCGTTTCTTTAGAAGAGTGGTGTTAAAAACCACAATTACTTCTCACACAAATCCACCTTTCAAGGGTAGTGATGAGTCATACCAATGTCCGGGTTGAAGATCTCCTCCACCACCAGCTGGAAGAACTCTTTCGACACCCCTCCTTCATCGACGCCTTGCTCTCCCTCAAACTCGACATAGAGCTGCTTCTTAAGGTCGGCAGGGTTCTCCATGGCGATCATCTCCAGCTGCGGCAGGAAGAGACGAGAACCGTCAGCCTATTTGATTAAGGGACACCTGGCAGGCAGAAATGGGAAGGGAGGAGGGCGCCAAAATGAAAGCTTGGCCAACCTCCAGATCACTGCGGATGGAAAACCTCACTGTCGAATAACCAAATGACGGCCGGACCAGATCCGGATCAACATGGGGCTTCCTCACTGTATTATTACCATAAGCAGTGTCTCTGAACCCCAATACGAAGCGAAAATCGAGGAAATGATTCACCCCAGTGGTTCTGCAAGGTCATCTACCAAGATAGAGCTGCTTGGTGTCCAAACTACAGGGGACCTGGACTGCTGTTCCAAAGCAATGAAAGCCTCCCCCTGCTGAATGGATTTTATGTAAGCTTATCTGAAAGGGGCTGAAGGGAGAGAGTGAAGTTCCCACCTCAGCATTATCCAGAAGCACTCAAAATTACTGGGGAAGACAAAGCAATGCTGCTGCTGCTGTTTATTGGGTATACAAGAGGTACTGCTGCATAGCTACACGGTGAAAAGGTACGACATTTACTGCATAAGAAAGCGTTTCATACTGGCTCCTCCCACTCAAACTGAACTCCAAAAATGGTATCGGCAATCAACTGGTCTGCACGTAGAAGTACGGGCCTGTGGAGATACTCACTCTGACCAGGGCGTCATCGATGATGTGGTCTCTGCGCACCTTCAGTCGCAGGTAGGGATTCAGCTGCTGCCCCTGAACCAGACTGTACAGAACCGTGATACGTCGCTCGCTATACATTCGGATCCTGTTGTCATAGTACAGTCCCAAGTTCTTGGTGACAGCATTGAGGACAAATGGGCAGGTCATGAAGGAGAACTTATTCTCCGTCTCCACCTTGAAGAAGGTGTAGTCCTTGTCCATCTCCAGCACGTCGTTCAGGGGCTCGTTGATGAATTCCTCGAAGGGGATGAGGGGCCGGCGGCAATCGATAGTCTTAATGCCCAGCTCCGTTTCCAGTGGGTCCACACGAGGGCCCTTCTTGTTCCGGCGTTCCTCGCCGAGCAGCTCCTGCAGGGTCAGCTCGCTGGACTCCGGTATCGGCTCGTCATCCTCCTCTTCGTTGTGGTCCGTGTCCAGCTCACCACCGAGCAGGTTGGCGTAGTAGACGATCTTCAAGCATTTGGTGGCAGCCACGACGGCGTCGTCGTCATTAACCAGATTGCGGCTGTTGAACTCGTTGCTGATGACCTTGTAGGTGATGAGCTGCTGGAAAGTCTCCATCATCCGTCGGATCTGCTCGGCACTGTACTGGGACCAGAGGCGCGCCAGTTTGGCCAACGCTGCCAGTGGCAGCTTGCTCATGGCCTTGCAGAAGAGCGGCAGGGCGATCTCCAGATACTCGGGGCTGTGGAGGTTGCTGTTCTCCATCACGATGACAAACAGGTTAAGATAGTTGGGATCCCTGGAGTACACATTGTGGTACGTCAGGTCACATTCCACGTTGGGTGATAGGTACACCAGTGCATTAAGGAAGGCAGCCTCAATCTTCTCATTGGCCAGGAGTTTGTTATAAACCCGCCTCACAGCATCAATGTCCACAGACACCTCATCTACCCCCAGCTTTTGAACATTGTTGTCCCCCTGCGAAGCACCTTCCCCGAGGCGAGAGGAAGAGGCTTCACCATCTTCCTCCATAGCAGCAGCAGAGCAGGCAGCCTTCTCCTTCTCATCCTCATCCTTGTCCTCGTCCTTGGCCTGGAGCGACTTGAGCTCCTCCTTGGTGTGCGGCTTTGTCTTGCGGAAGCTCTGCACTAGGCCCTCAGCACTGGAGAAGACCCGGCCGATCGCCCGAATCAAGGGGGAGTAGTCCTCCGTCTCCCCACAGATCTCCAGGATCTCATACACCTTCTCCTCTGTCAAGAAATTCAAATCTGCCAAGACAGCAATATATGCATTTAGGGGAGAAATAACTTACATGACTGTGATATTTATGCTACTTTTAAAGCAATCTAATTAGACATTAAACAGGTGCCTCATCATCTGACAGACCAACTGATCAACTTTACTGCTAAGTTCTAGCCAATCAGACGTCGGTATTTTGGTTAAGCCAAAAAGTGTTTTGTTATACAGTGCTGTGGAGCAGGGCTGAGGCCTTTTCCAGAACACATACATCAATTCCAATCCAAATCAGGAAATGGAACTGGAGTTGGGATCGGAAAAAAAAAAAAAAAAAAACTACAGGGAACAGAACTGGAATTGAATGCGAATTTCAGGGAGATTTAAATTCCAACTCCAGTTCCATTTCCTGATTTGGACTGGAAGTGATGACTGCATTCCGGCATGGCCCCACCCCTGCTGTGGAGGACAGAGACAATTCAGATTTATGGTTATAATCCAGTGCAGTTTAGAAGGCAAAGAACGAACAGCTAATGCAGCAAAGGCGGCGTGGGGAGGTGAAAAATTCATTTTGCTGCTGCTGGCCACGATGGGTCAATACATTACTTATCAGAAAAGGCGGCGCGCGCTGAATTAGTTAATGGAGATGCCTAAGTGGAGCGTGATATACTGCATCTCAATGGTTTTCAGATCAGCCTCAGGGTAATGTTTCATCATACTAAAAAACTGGCTGCTATTGGGTCGCTATGCAATTGGCTGCTATGCAATCCAATTCTATCGATACAATAATACAGGCATCACAAAAAAACTCAAGTTTCAACCTCCAGATCACCCGGCCGGTCAGCTCAATGGCTCCATGCTCCGTTCCCTGGGCTAACTTTAGCAACATTAGCTATTCAAAGGAGGAGCATTTCAAAACTGCCCAACATTTGCCGAAGATCAAAGGGAATCGCAAAAAGCGAGCGGGTTCACCGAGGCTTCGTGGCAAACCATCTGCTATAAAAAGGCACCGCGCTAAAACCAAAACTCAACCCACAATTCGGCAGGTCGCAGGACGACGCGATTCTGGGCTGCATGGCCTGCTGGTTTACCTTTAAAATCATCCCGGGCAGCAGGAGTCTCCTTGCGGCTCATTGTCCTGTCGCTGCAGGCTGAGTTGTGGTGGATTCCCTTGGCACTGTTCTCTAGGTAAGCAGAACTCGTCCCTTTCTTGGAGGGGTGGGGATCACAGAGTTTGGCATTAATCTTATAAAGCTCGAGGGCCTTGACGGCCGCTGTGTTGTTATCCATACGCTGGAAACGCGGCCAGGAAGCGCAAAACTCATTCGTGCAGGCTTCATTTCCGCAGCCCTCGGTTAACTGGTGGTAGTAACGCTCGATTAGATGCTTCGCAGCTGCCCGCTTCCTGGATCAGACATTCAGACATGAGGCACAAGGGTTAGTATAGAGAGGCCGAGCCGCACCACCAGCAAAGAGATGCACTCAGACACTGGGGACAGTGCAGACTCTCTCAATCGCTTCCTTTTGTGGAAAAGGAAGAATGATGTGCATAAAATGCACACACCAGTCCTTGTGAATGACTATGAATATTCAAAGGCACCAACAACAATGAATAAAAAAAAAGAGACTGACGATTTGGTGCAACAATGGAACTCTTGAAACTGTCGCAGGTTAAACTATCAATTGTTCAATTGAGCACTTCAAAATGTCCATTTAATCACCAAAAATGACAAGGGTGCACAAAAGAAAGAGAAAAAAATACTGGGGGAGGATATGGGAACCAGTTAGACATTCAGCTTGTGCTGGAGCTGAATTTGAAAGCCAAACTACATGTGGGACAGTGGCTGGAGGAGCAGTCCATTGGCAGGGCGGTTTAGCCTAACAGGACACCTGTACACAGCTCAAAGGTAAAGGCACATTAACACTGAATGAACTCCCACGACAGCGAGCAAACGAGCTGTGCAGGAAATGAAAAGAAGCAGCAACTTGGCAACAACAACAATTATTTTGACAGCAGAACACAGAAGATTGAGAATATTTATACACAATAACGAAATTTATCAGTCAATGTCCCTCTGACAAGTTTACTGGGCTATCAGACCAAAAGCAGGCAGCAAAGACAAAAAGCTAGATTTAACCAAGCTCACACGGGTTGGTTTCACATGGGGGGAAAAAATACGTAAAGACCCCCTAAGCATCAAGCTTCAGAAACTGTCTCACACTGGCGTTTCATGAAGAACCAAGCAGGGTTACTATTCTAAAGACTAAGGATGCGAATGTGAAATTAAACCACTTCCCTCACTGATCAAGCATGAATCAATGGCCCTGTATCATACAAAGGCGCAGCTTAGAAAAGGCAGAAGCGCACTCACCCTCAGAGCTGCCCTGCACAGCTGACTGCCAAGCGCCAGTCACAGCATGTTAAAAAATGCAGAAATATGAAAACAAACATGACGCGCTGCTGCTGCTGCTCTCAGGACATGAAGACAGGAGGCAGAGCCCAAAGGAGGCCAAACGTGAGGAGAACCACGCCGTCTCAGGAGTTTAATTAAGGGAGGGATTACAGTCAGCTTTCAGAGAATTCTCACTAGCTGCACTGCTCGATTCTTAATTTTCCCCAAATTACTGCAAACGAACTGTCTTGTTTTCTGACAGCTGTGCATTAATCAGCTGACTTCTACCAGAATCAACTGATATCCAAACATGCCCCCTTTTACTGCCAGACCGACGTGAGAAATAGTTCACTGATGTCATGGCAGAAACCACAGAAATCCAAGGGCCAGCGTAACTTCCACATAGGCAAAACCAAAACAGAAAAATAAGTCTGCAAACAACGGGGACGTGTATGTGTGTAAGTGAGAGATATTCAAGTTGGTTCAGCACCAAATTAATATTGTTCCCAGTCCAGCTTTCAGTTTCAACAAAAGATGTTACACAATAAAAGAGGAGAACTGCAAATGTAACACAGCAATTGAACATGAAAACAGTGCATGCTGGGATGATTATGTCTACTGCTGAAAGACCTATGGGAGAAGAAGAGGCTTTGACTATTAAAGCAATATTTCACATTCTGCTTAAAATGTGTGAAATGACATACTGTCAAATTTCGTGACAAACATTTGTTATATCGGACAACCAGAAAACAACTAAAAACTGATGATTACATTTATTAATCACAATGCACATAATTAGCATGCTTTGTTTAGAAAGGGCTTTCAAATCATGCATTAATAGAGGGGTTTGGCAAAAACAGATGACCACGCAAAAACATGTGATATCAGTGAAATAATTATTAAAGACCAATTCCATTTCTGAAGAGCTGAATCTTCAGCAGTAGAGTATAAAACCCATCAGACCAAGACCCTTAATGACACAGAACAGGGGTAAGTCAAGACAGATGGTGAGTTTAACACTTCCCAGACATAAATACATGGTGCCCAGTCATGCACTAACATTTAATGTCTCTGTCTAAATGGGTAACTTTGGGAAAGTGGACACGGCACTGCTTTTCCCAAAAACGCAATAGTTAATTTGGTAACCTACTACTGGGACGAAAACCTAACTTGATATGGAGCCGTTAACACACTCAGAGATGGAGCGGGAGGCGAACAGGAGACCAGCACTTACATTCGGCTTGCTTCAGGGTTTTCTATGTCAGACTCCTCTACTGATCTGAAACAGGGGAACAGAGAAGTGAGGGGGACTGTAGGCCTCACGCCGCCGACAGGTTTGGGAACGCTGCCGTCTTGCTGACCTAGACACTGATGCATTTGCAACCACTTACCACATTTACAAAACAACTCAATCCTAAACTGCTACTTTTCTTTCTTAGTGCATCACAAAGTGCTAATCAAAGCCGCAACCTACTGAGCTGCAGGTTAGCATCCCAACGAGTACCAACACACTCAAATACTGCAGAGCCTCTATGCATATTGTTAACCAAAGTCTGCATATAATGACAGCCTTATCTGCAACTCCTCGCCTTGGACACTGCAAAAATCCTGTTTCCAAGTATGGTGTCCGTCTGGCTGCAATGCAAGTGTCAATATTTTTTTAAGCTAGCAAGACACTGGAAGAATACATCTAAATCAAAAAAAGCAATATCAAAAGGAAAAGGTCATTTTGAAAAAGATAATGCAATCAAAGCTTATTCACACTTATCCGTGTAGTTTTCCCTGTGTTTTAATTTCACCGTACATGGTTGTTCATTTTTACTAGCGTGGTAAGAGGGATCTGTTTGTCACACTAGTCAGCTTGGTCTAATGAGAAGCGATGACACGTAACACCACGTGGCTGCTCTGTCGGAACTTCGGCAATCCGCCGGACATTTCAGACTACTCTTTAGAAAAATGCGCCAGGAATTTTTAGCAATTCTCAGCCTCCAGATCTTGTGAAAAGTAGCATATACGAAGATATTTATTAACTGGATCCCTGCAACTGGTAACAGAGCAACACATCATAAATCGTATTTCAGCATACGACAAGTTTCTACTTTACACTGCACAAGTGCATGCGGTGTATTCCAAAATCGATTTGACCATTAACGTTCAGTCAAGAAAATATCAAGAACATTGTAAACTAATTTCAATGTGACCAATTCTGATCATTTTAAATCATACATAAATATCACTAAGCAATCATAAAAAGGCTACGCGTATACGGCACAACAACTTAAGAATACTATTATTCTAACACACAGCCAACCATTCAGAATATACACAAAATACAGTGTAAAGTGTCACGGTTACCTTTACCAACAGAAGCCCGTTAGTTTCAATCGCATTCCGCTCAAACATGCAGTATATTTACACTTATTACTACATTTATTTACTAGACGCGCCAAAGGAACTGGCAACACTGAGCAGAAGACGTAGCTCTGCCTGAAGAACAGGCCACACCAAGCCGGTCTGACAGCTTAAACCTGCGGGACAGCAGCCATTTATGCATCTGATAAACAAACAGCACAACCCGAGAGCGAAAAGATAGGCGGCTGTTAGCCAGTAGGCTAACCGGCACGGAGAGCCCCGCAGCCGCGAGCCAGGGACCAAAGGTGCAGGTCGGAGGGCGTGTGCGTGTGCAGGGGGGGCGTCGTAGTAAACATCTATGTGGGAATGTGACACTGACAGGCAGGCCGAGTGTGGGATAATGACAGTGCATGTTAGCGGCTAACTAGCCGCTACACGCTCCCAGCGCTGCTAACGAGTTTACGCCGCCGCCGCAGCGTCACCGTCGCCTAGCCAGTGGCCCACGGCTAGACCCGTTAAGCTGCCGCTATGCGGCCAACACACCATATCCCCAACGACCGGGCATTAAATCAAACAAGCCATGGGCTGGCACTCTCCCCGTTACGGATGCGCTTCTGTAGCAGCAGGCGCACTTTCCTGACGGACTAGCCCGTTAGCCTAGCTACACCCCCCAGGCCTCCTAACTGACCGGCGCAGGCGGAATCCCCGGTGCTCGCCTAGACGGTACACCGACCTGTCGTATCCTGCTGCCGGTGTGGACTCGGCCTGTGGCGGCGCGCACTCGCAGTCCTGATTCTCTTCGGAACTCATACGAGACTCTCCCTGCCTCGGTCGCACCGCGTCGTCTGTGTGTGTGCGTGTGTGCGAAGGTGTCCCTCGTCGGCCCGGCTGCCGGCCCTTCGACGCGGCTCGTTACCGTAGACTCGTACTAAACAAGGGGGTGGGGAGGGGGTCTGCGAGCTCGCTAGTGCGAGGGACAAATTTTCATTTTAGGCCCCGTTCTCACCGCACAAGGTAATTTCTGCCATCTTGGTTTCAGTAGGGCTTTGCCGTGTACAAAGCGACCTATCCCAGCATGCATTTCGGCCGCCGCCCCCCTCCAGTTTGTCTTTCCTGACCACAAATGTCAGGGGAAGAGAAAAAAACAGCAAGGTGACGTTGGATTCGTGACTGAAGCTTTTCTAAAAAAAAGACACATGCCTACTACTTTGCAATCATAACTTTAGGTTGGTGCACATGCTGCAAACGTCTCTTGTTTGCTAATTAGGGTCCTGCAAACGCACTTGACGAATAAGAGTTACTACACCCATGGGGTGCACAAATCCAAAACATGTAACACTTGTTTTCTTGCAGAATACTTACGAGTTTTCCAGAAGCCTTAGTTTTACTGTACCTTCAATTATCGTATAATGCAAAACTACACGAGACAATGAGCATCTTTTTCAACTAGTACGTATCACGCTAACTATTGCTGAGTGTGCAGCGATCAGGATTATAGCGCTTATTGTGTTTCATTGTATATGGTGTGCGATGACAACAAAGGCTATTCTTTTCGGTTATATTATATAAAACAGGTTTCCCAGCAATCTGTTACAGAAAACATTCTTGGTTGTAAGCTTTATTTATATTACAAAAAAAGTTTTTGGAACAAGCTCAGAAAAATATTCATAAACATTTCCCTCAATTCAAGCACACGTCATATCCCTGTCGTACCTGCAATTTATGATAGCATCCTGGACACTGCACTGCCGGCCAGAGTCGTACACCCACTGCACTGTGTGTGACCCTTGGCTGTATCTATGTATGAGACCCATTGCCATCGGGAGACAATTGCTCTGTGTGTGAACATATATTTGGCCGATAAACCCAATTCTTCTTCATGCCGCCCACATCTGGTGTGATAACAAGCGTGACCATATTTATACAACATGCTGAGATCGGTAATACAAACAATCGGAGAAAGCCAAAAATTTCTTATTTAAATGCCACTTCATTTTCCTGCAAAGTATGGCGGCATCTCAGATCTATAAACATGACTGTGCCCGTAAAATTGGCTTAATTCAGAGGTAACTTCGTTTTGGTATTGATTTAAATTTGTAACCATGCATGGTCTTGAAATGTGAAGGCATGCCCTCATTAAAGATAATTTGCACTGTTTGGTGATAAGCGGGGCGCACGGTGGTGCAGTGGTTAGCGCTCACACCTCTGGGACCAGGGTTTGAGTCTCTGCCATGGTTCCATGTGTGGAGTCCACATGTTCTCCCTGTGTCATCGTGGGGTTTCCCCTCCACAGTCAAAACAGGCTGGGGCTAATTGGAGTTCACAAATTGCCCATAGGGGTGTGTGTGTGTGTGTGTGTGTGTGTGTGTGTGTGTGTGTCTTGTGATGGGTTGGTGCCCCCTCCTGGATTGTTCCCTGCTTTGTACCCATAGGCTCCAGACCCTGGATGGATGGATAATAACATGAACATAAAACCCTTGGCAATAATTATGGAATCACCCAACTTTTTAACTTTGTGGAATATAATCAACACACAAATGACAGATATGACACCAAACAATTTTATTTAATAGCTGAACATTCTCACTAGGTGATTCATCAGCTAAAAAAAATAAATCGCAGTTAGTTCTTCGTTACTCCTCCACGGACTTTCATAACGGCCTTCACTAACGAAAAACAATATTCTACGCCAAGCTGCTTCTCAAATAGCAGTTTTCATATTAGCTTTGCAGGATGGAGCTTTTGTCAGGGACCAATTTTTTTATTTTTTGGAATTTCCACCATAAATTTTCAGTCGGATTGAGGTCAGTCTCTGGTCCCTTAAGTGACATAAGGCCCCATATCATACATGTTTGGGGGAATTTGCTTGTTTTCTTCAGACATCTTTATGTGTTTCATTAGAACGGCACCAGACAAAAGTTCCAGCATCATCTCCTTGGCCAATGGAGATTCATGATTCATCGCTGAATATCACTCTCATCCAATCATCTTCACTCCATGATTGCTCCTCTGTAGCCCACTGTAACCTTGTTTTGTTCTGTTGTTTTGTTAGGTGTTAGTGCTGGTTTTCATTTGACTTTTCTGCATGTAAATCCCATTTCATTCAACCAATTTCTTTCAGTTCTGTCACACACACATGGACTCCTGTTTTCACCCATCTGTGTCCTATTTGTTTTCTTGTATGTTTTCTATGTCCAAGCCCTATTGCTTTGGGTTTTCTATCTTGGTACTTTGACATATTTCTCAGTTTGCATATATATATATATATATATATATATATATATATATATATATATATATATATATATATATATATATATATATATATATATAACACTGCACAGTCTAGCTGGGGTCATGTTCCTTTTCAATTAGCCAAGTCCACCAGCTCTGTAAGGTCTGTAGACACTCTTTTTTAACTGTAGACCAATTTGCCTTTCTGGTGTTTGTTTTAGAAATGCAAATTACAAGGATTACAAGGTGATTCTATAAGGTTTTCCGCATTGTTGAGTGATTCCATAATTTTTCCCGCTACTTGATCTGGACAAAAACATGCCACTAATTAAAATTAAAAAATAATATGTTTCATGAAGCCATCGATGTTTATCAAAAATTGTTTTGCACCATATCTGTGATTTATTTGCTACAAAGTAAAGGTGCTGGATGAGCATCCTCTGAGTGTGATGATTCTATAACTTTTGTCAGGGCTACGTCAGGGCTAACTTTTGTCAGTAGGGCTACGTCACACACTAATTACACCAGGAACGTAGACATTTGAACATTACGTAGACGTTTTTTTTATGTGGATAGCAGTGCATGCGCTTCTACCCAAATGTCTGCACTTATACTTCTCACCAGTAGATGTCAGTCTTGATGAAAAATCCTACCTTAAATGTTATTGAGGAAAAATATATTCAACAGACAATAATTTTAATCAAAAAAATATAGGGGTCTGTAACATATTGATGTCATAATATAATATAAACTTCAGCTTAATGTTCGGGTGTCACAAACACACTACTGCCATGTGGAAATATTCGATCAGTAGTGGTTTTGGCTATTGATTGGAAACCACAGTGTATTTTTCAACACCTTCCAAAGCAAATATGTGTGTGTATGCACACAGTCTGACACAGTTAGTTGCTTATATTCTATATAGTTGCTTCCTCCCTTACAGGCCATTGACAGGTCAGCCTCATGCTTATTCTTGGTTAATCAGAGCTGATTAACATACACAAGGTCACTCTCTCAGACTCCTAGCTTAAGCAATAGGCTGCCATCTGTATGGGCTGCCCTTCTGTCTCAGTGTTCGCATCCAGACGGAAAGCATGCTGTTTTATTTTAGGTTTCTATATCTAAATGACAAGTAGCACCGCTGTACAAGCTGGTCCATGTCACATGAATGATGACCGAACATAATCAGAGCAGTAACCCTCCGCCCTTCACTCTTCTGCATGACTGAGTCTGGTCCGTAGCTGCCAGTGGAGCATGAACACCAAGGTCTGCTCCTAGTCACCATCACTGGGGGGTCTTTCGGAGCACTGGAGCCCCCCCATTCAGTCTGAACTGCAGTTCTCAGTTCCAAACTCCAGTAAGTAAGAACCCCAGGAGTTTTTGGTTTTTTATATATAATCGCTTAAGCTCTTCTTCCATCTTTTGTCCATTCATTCAAGGTTCTGATTTAGCCTAAATTTGTATTGGATTTTTTTTTTAAATGTAACTGTTGTGTACAGCACCATACTAGAAGAATATGGAAAATGGAAAAATATCAGAAATATAACCATTTGAGAATATTAGCGATTAAAAAGTCATTATAGGGATTTCTGTAAAATGCATATCGTTTAACTTTTCAATGCGGTTCATGGCTACTGAAAGATTTACAGCAGCTAATGGTCCAGACCTTCTTTGAGGGCAGGAGTGATCAGGACGGGAGAAACACCCCAGATTCCCTGTCAACATGGATCCCGTTTTGCTTGCTGCCATTTTGTTAATCCCAGGTAGCCGCAGTGCCCTGTTTCTTACCACAGCGCCCGTTCTTTAGGATTCCCGGTGAAGCAGTGTGCAAGAATAAAGAGGTTTACTGCAGTGGCTACAGCGGGCAAGAGGAATCTCTCGTCACGCTGAATAATGCATTGGGTGGCGTTACTGAGGAGAGCCCCGCCTCACGCGGCCGTAAGGAGTGCTGACGCCTTGAATATAGACAGCTGTTTAGCCCCAGCTGGCTATGGCGGAGCCCAGATCCTTCTTCACGAGTCGCTGGAGTCTTTGTCGACAGGGCGCTTTTACAAGCGCAGGCAGTGAAGCGGCAATGTCGCTCTCTTTCTGCTACTTTAAAATACACTAATATGCACTGAGCTGCAGGACAGATGGGAGTGAAACATCCTGTGTCCTACATAGGGCGCCTCCTACAGGATGGAGGTTTGATACACAGGTGTCAGGCCATAAAACCCCATCAACACGCATCCCCAAGCATGGCCAATCAATGTGGAGAACGCTGACAGTGCAGGGATTCCGGAGAAGCCCCTGTATGGTTCCCGCTTCTCATCGTTGCTCTTTCTCCCATCATGCACCTGTGGTTCCAACACACACTCTGCACCAATCAGGCACCGTCATCCTGTCCTCTCGTTGCACAATACATGTGCATCAATAGAATGTCCAATCGTGTACAGGCATGTTTTTCAGTTTCTCTCTTGCATCCCGGAGTTCACGCTCAAGGAATC